AACTGGAAAGGTTTTTTTTATGATGCATTTGATCCGTTAGGAATTCATCAGACTGAGCTTTGTTGACATTGTCACATCTACACATGTGCACAAAATGAGAGACACAGGTAGTTTCAAAATAATCTAGCCCAAATTATCTGTATTCTTTTTCTTTTTCTCTCCATCACCTTTGTCTTTGACTATCTCACACTGTGACAATATAAAATCTACCAAGAATGGTGATATATTGTAAGAGCCTGGACACAAATTTATTGGATCAAGGCACTTTCCAGACATTTTCATCTCAGGGAATGCTACTTTGATTAAAAGAGAAAAATAATCCACTATGTCAAAATCGTGGTTCATTTTGTTATGGTGATCAATATTCTTTCAAAAATTTTGAAACTACCTGCATCTCTCGTTTCGTGCATATGTGTAGACATGGCAACATCATCAAAGCCTAGTCTGATGAAATCCTAATGAATGAAATGCATCACAAAAAAATCTTTCCTGTTTGTCATATTTTTCTAAATACTGATTTGTTGATATACAAAATTATATATATATATATAATAACATCTACAATTAAACTAATGAAGTTAGTATGGGTAACACTCTACATCCTGCTTTCTCTGACTTTTACATGACACACATTGAAAACAAATTGTTCAAAATAACAAACTAGAAATCTACTCGAGATATGGTGATAACATTTTTATACTACCAAGTAATAGTAATAGTAATGAAATGACAAACCTAAAGTCAACTTTTGGAAAAAATCTATACTAAAATTCTCAAACTCATACAAAAATAATAAAATCCCATTCCTCAATGTTTACGTAGAACTCAACTCCAAAGCATTTAACACCTACTTATCTATGTATAAAATTCTGTGACTTCCATTAGTCTGTCCATCTGTCCTCTAAAATAGTCATACATTGACCAATTAAAACCAAATTTTGGGGAGAAGTGCAAACAGGTAAGCAGGTACAAAATACAGTTAGTCTTACTCAGGTGTGTAGCTTAGTAAAATAAATTTTCATTCATTTTTTTTGGAAAAATTAAAAATTTTATTATTTAACATACAAAATACTCCCACTATTTTAAAAACAATTTAATGATTAAAATAAATACTTATTTAATAAAAATGCAATATTGTTTTTTGTATCTTTTTCTATATATATATATATATATATATATATATATATATATATATATATATATATATATATTCCATTTGGTAAAATATAATGCATAGTAGTAGCACTGGAAATATAAACACATTAGGGAGAATTTCAAATAGGCAGCGGGAATATTTAATACTAAATGCTTTTAGGATTTCAACATGCATCAACAATTCTAGTATAAATAAAAAAGAACACCTGCCTCTTAACCTATAATACTGAATGTCCACAAAGATATAGGAGAGCTGTGATAATAAAAAAAAAAAAAAACTTTCCCAAATAGATCATACCTAACCTCCTCTTCCAAGAAAATATTCTTTAGTGAACTCAAACACATAAAATAAACATTGTTTAATAATAATTTTCCCAACTACATTATTGATAACCAAATAAAATTATTTCTACAGAAATGACACCAATACTAAAGTATAACAAAACATGTTTTACTGCAACTAGATGCACAAAAATTATAAATAAAATTAATCACTATGTGACGCAACATTAATCAATACATTTCACCTGTTGACCCCCAGTAAACATATAAAACTTACATTATACTATAAATACTATAGAAAATTAAACACTGCCAACCTCATAATTAGCAATAACAACACACCTATCAAATCTAAACTCAGGAGCATCAATGTATTTTATCAATTTCACTGCCTGTACAAGACAGCAACTCTTGTAATAAACTGAATGACTGCATTGGATATATGATAATAACAATAAGTTGAAGGCTGACAACCCACTTAAGTGATCTCAGTGCCATAAAAAACACTTAGACATTCATGCACATCTACCTGCCCTCATCAGAAATATTCTTGTAGATAACACCATTCTAAAGAAATCTAATTGTAAGAGACATCTTAAAAATATTGAAGCTCTTTATATAAAACAATTTAAGCTAAGCCTTAACCTTACCCTATTTGACTAGCATAGTAACATATTGGATATCTTTTAAAAGGCATCCCAACATGGAATCACAACCACATATCTTCTAGCACAGTTTAGAAAATCTACTACTTCCATACAATACAACCTAGAACAAAAACACAGGAAAATATATTTAAAATACCCCCCCCCCCTTGAAAATGACTAATGAAGGGGGTGAAAATGCTTGGGACAATAATCATCATGGGCAGTTTCTACACTCTTTTAGCATCATGAAAAGGAGAACTTGAAAAGAAAAAGATTTTCCTTTTCTGTCACATTGAATGAAGTGTGTGTGTGTGTGTGTGTGTGGATAGATAGATAGATATATATTTTCTGTTTATGCATTATTTTTATAGATACAATTTATTTAAGAAAAATGCTCTGTTTCTTAATTAAACAGTATTAATTACATTTACCAGCCTGAATGTTTGAGAAATTTTGTAGAAAATGTGTTCTTCAATAGTAATTTGGATTTTGCTAGATTTGTTTGTTTTTGATTTTGTCGGTTGCACAGTATAGTAGGGTCAGTTAGGCATTGTTTGTAAGAAAAATAGCACCATGATGCAATTTACTTTGCCAGAAATTTGGAAACAGCATGCTGTACTGCTTGGCATTCATGCCAGAAACGCCAATACGAACATTTCAGAGTGTTTGAATATCAATCTGAGGACAGTGCAGAGAATTTGGAAAAAGTTAGATGAGTCTAATGGCGATTACGAAGGTATGAAAGCTGGGAAAACTGACTGATCATTCTGATAAGAAAAGAATTCCTAAATTTGTTGGTGAGAGCTTCAGACTCAACATGGGTCCTACATCAAGTGCCTTGAGGAGGCAGTGCTTCCTTGGATCAAGAGGGTGGCTGCTGGAAGACCCTATGTTTGGCAACAGAACTCTGCATAATGCCACACAAGCAGGAGAACCCAGTCATAGCTGTCAGACAATTTCTGTGACCACATCACCCCTTATATTTGGCCTCCTAACTCCCCAGACTGCAACCCACTTGATTATTATGTGAGTGGAGCAGTTGAGCGAGAGACAAAAAAAAACTCCTTGAAACACAATAGATGAACTGAAGGCAAAGATTATGGCAGCATTCACAAATGTAAACAAGAAGATCACCCAGAAGAGTTGTAGTAGATTCCAAAGTCATCTGGAGGCTGTGACTGAAGCCAATGGTGTTTTTATTGAATAACTTATTCTTTAGTATTTCAAGATATTTTGTGTATTTTTGGTAAATATATCTGTTAAAATGAAATGTCAGTGTTATTTTCATTTTTGCATAATTCAGACAACATCTCTCCATTGCACACTCTGTGTGTGTGTGTGTGTGTGTGTGTGTGTATAAACTTGAAACTGATTGGTGACCGTGAGAAAATCAGCAGGCAATTGCTGAAACCTGTTGATGAGTGAACTGAACAATTACAAAAAAAGGTTTTTCAACAAAAACTATGGATTTGTGATGCTGAACATTAATCAACTAAATGACAAATTTTATTTGTATTAAACCTATATATATCAGATATTTTATATATAGACAGATTAATAAATGATCAATGTATCAAATTACTATGTATTTGAATTCAAAAATAAGTTCCTGAATATTGCAAATATTGATAAACTTAATTCTATTTATGAAGTAACAAATCTATTGGCCTAATGTATTGGTAAAATATGTCAGCGAATGTCAGAGAAAATTACCAAAATATATTTTGCTCTGTTATAATAAACAGTTGATTGGCATTTTTTTCATTGTGAAACAACATTAGTTTCAGTTTCTTTTCAGATAACAAAACTAATTCAGCTGATGGAAATTCACCTTCTGAATAGGGTAAGTTGAACAAAAGTGTTCAATGTTTTCAACTCAATTAGAGTCAATCAAACTTTTCACTGCAATAAGATTGATAAAGCCTGAAGGCTGTACAGAAAGAGAACTGAAAGGAGGTTTTCTAAAATTTCTTCTTTCATTCTATATAGTCTATTATATTGGTTGTAAATTGATAAAACCTTCATGTCATTATCTATAAATAATAATGAATGTGCACATAGCAATAATATGCTATGTGGCTTGTTGTAGACAATAGTTCTACTCAGAGAGAAAATCTAGATCCAGTTCTGGGGGATGAAAATGTTTCTTTCATACAAGATGTCGAATGTCCAGAAATGATTTCCAATTGTGTTAAAAATTGTTAATCAGTACAAGAAGGAAACTACAGGAACTCTTACAGAAAGTAGTAAAGGAAAGTGAGAAGAAAGGACTAAACATCAATTGTAAGAAGAGAAAATGTATTGTTGTCAGCAAATGAAAAAATCCCAACTTGCGAATTACAAATTGCAGACACCAAAATTAAACAAGTACAAAAATTTAAACACCCAGGAAGTGTTTTAACAGAGAATGGAAAATGCCACAAATCTAAACGCATATTCGGAGAGCAAAAGATTCCTTTCAAAAGCTGAGAAAAGTATAAAGAAATAGTAAAATTTCATTAGAAACAAAGAAAGGAGTACTGAACTGTTGAACATTAGTCCTCCTATATGGCAGTGAATGCTCAAAGAAGAACCAATATAGCTGACAATAGTGCACTGTGAGAAAAAGACTTTGCCTGCATTTCATGAGAACAAGTTGCTCATTGCTTTTGTTTAACAGCATATCAACATTAATGGGTTATTTAATACCAAAATCTAAATATTTTGTATGCAATTTTTTCATTTTATTTATTTATTTTTGATTCATGATACGAATCTTACTAATTAACCCATAGCTGGAGGAGAAGAAGTAGATTCATACCTTTCTCAAGGGTATTTGTGTATAAGTGAATATAACAAACCCAACAGGAATTGGAACTCAGTTCTTTGATTAACAATTCTGAGCCATTATCCATTACACCACCTGCACATCCAAGCTTACAGAACCTGTATTCCCAAGTGGTCACCCATCTAGGTACTGACCAAGCTTGATGTTGCTTAATTTTGGTGATCATATGGAAAACAGTGTTTCAACATGCTGTGGTCATAAGCCGTGAGAGCAAATAAACTTTAAAAATTTATTATACTGACAAAGAAACCTGGTGTTAAAGACGACAATGACAATTAGTATGAATGCTTTCATATGAAAAATCACAGAACATAAAGCCTGTTAGACACCTCAGCAAGGATTCTATGGAGTATCAAATTGAACTCTGCTGACAAATGTCTCACTACAAAAATGTTTTATTTTGGGGACTTATGTCCAGGCAAATTCTCTGAAACAGTGAAAAAATTTGGACTCACTATCAACATAAAGAAGACTGAACTAATGTACAAGCCAGTACCAGGCAATCCATCTCTCACAAATTCTTCCGTATTCATTGAGGGGGACGGCATTAAAAACTTTTGCGGCATTCACATATCTTGGATCAACAGACTCTTCTGATGGAAAAATGGACACCGAAATCCACTCCAGAATAGCCAAAGACGGCACAGCATTCGACAAACTTAAACATAGGTTATGGACCACGAAAGACGTGTCTCTCAGAGTAAAGATCGACCTATACAGATCAGTCATTCTCTCAACCATTCACTATAGTGCTGAAACTTGGATCCTGTACTGCAAGCACGTAAATCAACTTGACGCCTTTCACATGTGCTGCCTTCATACCATATGTGATATAAAATGGGATGACAGGGTCAAGAATAGTGCAATACTGAAAAAAAATGTAACAACATCACAGGCATTGAAACTATTCTAGCAAAGATACAATTTTGGTGGGCTGGTCATGTTGTGAGAATGGATGAGCATAAGCTTCCAAAATAGGTTCTGTATGGACAACTATTAAAGTCCAAGTGTTCAGTTGGATGTCCACTCTTACACTACAAAGACAAATTGAAAGACAACTTGAAATGTCTCAACTTTGATTTGAAAACCTAGGAATCCCAAGCATCAAACTGAAAGGAGTGGTGTAAGACATGTTTCATTAAGTTAAAGGGTTTTGAAAACAGTAGACTGAAGCACCGTGATCAGCTTCATCAAGCTCTGAAGCAGAGATACCATCAAAATCCTGCTTTAACAAATTTAATCTGTCAGTGTGGCTTTGTTGCCTGCAGCAAGGCTGGACTAGTATCACATTTAAGAAAGCACAAATGAAATATGTCTTCCCCTTACCTGATTTTCTCCACAATAGCCCCTGCTAGCATGCATAAGTGTAAAACAAAAGGCACCATCCAGTGCTGACCCTCATTTATCATTCACGATAGGAGAGTTCACCATATGTCAAGGCAAATATCAGCCAAACTGTAGGACATCCAAGATGCTTGATAAAATGATAATGGTGAGATTAGCTGTTTCCATACAGGAAACATTCAGCATTACTGTCAGCTGACATTTATAAAATCTTTCTCTTAAAACAATTTTTCAGTTAAATAGCTTTCTCAAGTCCACTAGTAGCTTTCTAGTATTGATGGGAGTTTCCTTTCTACACTTTTCTTTAAGGTAGTGTGGATAGTTAACATCTAGATCACATTATTATTTTAGCTTTGAGTTACATGTGTTATCCAGTTTAGTTGTTATTGTTGGAAATGTTCCAATGAAGTAGGTTCTTGTTATTTGGTAAAGTTATTTGTGATTCTGTAGTTCCATTTTATAAGATTTGATAAAGGATTGTTTTCTTTAAGACTGAGAGGGTTCATTCAAAGATTTACTGTAAAAAAAAAGATACAACTCAAATATTAGCACTCAGACAACTGAGATGTTCTCAGACTGTGAAAGAATTGGAGAGCTGTCCATAATTCTGAGAAGAGACATTCTTCAGAATGACAGGCAAAGCTCAATCCTCACTTTCCAGCCTTGATAGAGCTCATAATCATTGATGCAGTCTTGTGGGGGTATGTCTTATTTTCCACTCTATAACCATTCTCCCAAAGATGCAATATTGCAAGACTGTTGCTACTCTATTGCTATTTCCATTGCAAATGTTCAGATGAGCAAGATTCTCTACATTCACCAATTAAGACCTTTACTTTTAGGGCACGTCATGCTACTTTCATGAAGTCAAAACACATATATTTCCCCTGTGTTCCAATTGTAAAAAGAAAGTTCCACTTGGACAGCAATTTGTGGAACAAACTTGCACATCAGTGCTTCCCTGAACACTTTAATACTGACCTCTTCAAGTTAAGGGTCAGTTGTTATCCATCCTCCTTATCTCCACTTCCTACCACCATCCCTTCCACTCATATCTCACCCTCATTCATCATTACCAACAGTAACCCCCTAACTTGAGTGACTCTTGAGCTTTGTATTGGGTGAAATTTATAAAAAAAAAAAAAACTAATCAGTAAATTAAGAAGATCTACTTCAAAACTTCTACTCACTAGATTTAACACTCTCAATTCATATCACTGAAAAACTTTAATGCCAAATCCTTTAAAAAATGTGGAAGAGATCAATTCAGAATCATTAGAATTTTTTTAATTAGGAAATCTTTTAATCATCTGCAAAGAATGAATGGTTGATGAAATTAAGTGTAAAATACTTTTATGGGGGTCTAATTAAAAGAATTAAGATGGAAATTATAGATATTAGAATAACAATTAAAAGAATGCACATTAGAATATTATTTGATTTTGCTGTCTTAAGAATTGGAGACAAGAAATATCATAGAACAGCCAGCCACAACTGTAGGCTGGGTATTGCCATGCTCCATGCAGTACAGCAAAATATTGATTAAAAATACATTATTATAAACAATAATACAAAGTGGCCTAATGGATAGGATTTTAGAAAATCAAATCAATGAAATAGTTTTATTGATTTTTCTCCTAAAATTATTCAGCTCAACGTCTGATTATTATGCCCTTAAATAATCTCTTACAAAAACTCTAATCTCCTAGATAAGACAATAGTGTCTACTGGAGGCTCAGAAATTTGTTTTTATTAGTATCAGATTAATCCCATAATTTTATTCAAATATTGTTTAAATGCATATTATTTCTTGATTAGCTTTATCTATAATAATCTCTAAATAATCCTAATTCTCTGAATTGAACATTTTGCCAAGTATTTTACACTTCATTATTTTTCAATTTTAATAGATCAAAGAAAAGCTGAATTCTTTAACGGTAATTTTGCCTGTCATGTCATGAATTTATTCATATTACTAAATTTGTTTATATTAACTTCATGTCTGTTAAAACAGGATCTTCTCAATAAAGTGAATAAAAACATTTTACCAAACAACAGAAAAATTTTCACTGAGGAGAAATCTCAATAAACTTAAATAATGCTTAAAGGTTAAATCCACTTTGGCAGGAAAGGAGACAAGCCTGCTACTGCCACTGTTTAGAACACATCCATTAAGCTAAGAAGTGAGTCTAATATCTTCATAAATTTGTTAACCAATGAGATAAAAGGACCACATGAGTCAGCATAGTTAACAATGTCAACAATTTTTATTTTAAAGAAATAGTATCCATATTTTTCAGTTTTTATTAGCTTGTGGTTTGATTGAGTGATTTATGGGTTCTTTTAGCCATACCATATTCTGGATTATAAGAATAATTCTTTTTTTTTAATTTTTACAAGTCAATATTACATTAACAATAATTTGAGAATAACAATGATTTCTTCCAGATACAAGTCCTACTATTTAACCCATAGCTTCTAATACTTTCAATGCATGTAAACAACCTATAACTGTTGAGTGATAGGACAACCAATAAAGATTTGGGAATAATCTTTTCAGGCAGAGGTGAAATCAGTAGGCCGAATTTAAGCTACTTTGTCCTAATTTTTTTAATACTAATATTCCTCCAGTACATAGTTCAAGAGCCACTCAAGGTAGAGGGTAACTGTTAAAATGGTAATGATGAGATGTGTGATATAAATGAAAGCATAGTTAGTAAGAAATAAAAATAGGTAATTATTTACTGTTGATATGAAGAAGTTATATAATATCAATCCTCCTATAAGGCAGTGTTGGTGGACAATCTCTTCACAGATGAAGAAGAGACTTGAAGCAACAGAAATGAAGCTACAGAAGGATGCTGAGGATATCATGGACTAAATATGTGAGCAATAACAAAGTTTTAGAGAAAATGGAAAGAAAATTACATTTATACTTAACATCAAGAAAAGATAGCTGAAATTTCTACAGCACATAATGAAGAAAGAAGGCTTGGAAAATTTGATACATACAAGAAATACTGAAGGCAAGAGGGATAGGGAAAAGGCATGAATCTCTCTCCCAATTGTGGGTAAATAGTAGGGCAATCTGACCCTTTTGGCCTTGTCAAACTGCCCAGCTAAGATAAGTAACCCTGAAAAATACCATCTACAACTTGTCAATTGCCAGAACTGGTCCCAAGCCTGGGTGAAAAATGAAAAAGATTTATGTGTTGCACTCACCCACTGGCCTGTTAAGAACAAAGAGAACTACAGTTATGAGAGAAACAGTGAATACATTTATAATGTACAAAATTCAAAATGAAAAAAGACATTATCCAATACACTTTGTCATATGATAGAATCTACTACTAATCGTTGAAGATACTTCTAAGATTTCTCTAATATTGGAAAAAGATGACGCTAATCAACCGAATAAAATAAGTAAAAGATTGTTTCAAAATACTGAGAATTGAAGAAAGAGTTAATCAATATAAAAAAAATAATCAAATAATCACTTGGGCTTTTGTCCAAACATATTTGTTTCTCTTCTTTTAGGCAAAAGTGACTTTTGTAAAGATTATTTTTTTGTCCTCATGAATGTTTCTACTTTTTTCCTCCTGCTGGGATATCTATTTCAATCTTCTTATAAAACTAGAAAAATCAGTATCTGCTCATATTTCTGAGATGAGGTATTAAAAACTATTTACATTGTTTGAACTGTTGTCCTCATCTTTATGGTCATATTCACAACATTTCGCCATTGTGTGCTCTGGCCTCCTTTTATGAATATGACAATAAAGATGAGGACAACAGTCCAAACAATGTAAATAATGTAAAAAAAAAAAGTCAGGTAGAATAGTTTCTATCTAACCAA